AGTAGATGGCTATGCCACGGCTAAGGCCAGCCAAGGTAGTGCTAGCCATGGCCGAGACCTTGTGCCACCATGGCTGTGCTTGCTATGGGCCATTGGTGGTGTAACTTTGGCCCTAGCTGTATGGTTATAGATACCACAGCCAAGGACAACATCATTGGCAATCAAGGTTGCCAGTGGCTGTGGTAAGCTTGGCAAAACATTATCTTTTATGTTGAGAAAGGACCAATTCGAACATTAATTTAGTGAAAAAAAACTTAAGCGACCCACTTTAAAAATTAAGAAAGTTGGGTTCGCACATTGAAAATATTTGTGTTGCAAAGTAAACTTATAAGGACTTTTGCATTCGCACATGTCTTAGATTTAAGTGGAAAAACACCCTGGGATTCGCACTTAAAAACAATGCATTCGAACACTTAAAATTCACGTAATTCAAATTCAAATGTTTCCCGGCAAATTTCAAAGCAAACACGAACGCCACTGGCAAAGACAGAGGGAAAACGTGAGGTTCTCTCTAACCTCTTTCACATCCTCTGGACTGTGCAACTCCTCACGAGGCTCCCCTTCCGCTTGCTCGGGATCACCGTAATCGACAAAGAAGTCCTGGTCCTTGAGCCTTTTCACCTCTTTCCTCCAAGCTTGGATCTCCGCCTGAAGATCAGTCTCCCCAGCATCAATCAAGAAATTGTGCAAAATGCAACAACTCTTGATGATGTTGGGAAGGTACTTTGGCTGGATCCTTTGTTTTTGATCCAAGCATCTGAACTTCATTTTAAGAAGTCCAAATGCTTGCTCAATAACAATCCGAACAAGGTGGTGATGAAGGTTGAAAGCTGCCTTGGATGGTGTCGGGTTTGGAGCTGAGCAACAACCAAAACAAGTGAACAAAAGAAAGTAGAATGAAGAAGACTTACTTGTGTGTGGAATCATCAGATGCTGCTGGAGTTGGTACCCTTTGTCCCCCATTAGGTATGGCTTGATCCTATCGTCATATGCTAACACCGCAGGCGATGTCAGC